GTTTGTGACTTCAGCAAAACTCCTCCCAAATTCCCATTTAACTTCTTATGCCGACCAGTGATATATTGAAACCCCTATGGGGAAAATCGTGATGTGGAAGGGATAACTGTACTTCATTCAGTTCATTCTGACTGTCCATAATTTGAGTCCAAACTTCTAATGTGTTTGAAGGGTTCAGGCCATTTTGTTACCAAAGGTCCTCATCTCTGTTTCTATTTCTGGTTCTCCATTGTCAAAGCACTTTGGTTTCCCACTCCAGCTGCTAAAATAATTTCTTTTGCAGTCCTTCTTTGCAGCTTATTACTGATGTTACATTGTCTGGGATATCTTCCCTGGAGAAGGGTTTCAGCTCCCTCCTGTTTGAAAGTCTCTTTCTTCTCCCATTCATGGGGGCCAAGGACAGGAAGAAGAAGGACAGGCTCATAAGCCCTAACTTGGCAATTGTGTTTTTGTTAATCAGAGAATAGGGATTTCTCCTCTCAACCTTATCTCTTTGCCCTTTAAAGTTAGAGCTCCTATTATTCCTAATTTGCATCAATTGGTCCCTTAGCAACAATCACACGTGCAGGAATAAATAATAGCTGACATTTAAGATTGGCAAAGGGCTTCACATGTATTATCTCATTTGACCTCCCAACATCCTCATGTGATAGGCATTTCTGTTGTCGTTAGCCTCATTTTACAAGAGAGGAAACTGAGGCTAAATGGCTGGCATAGGTTCAAACAGCTAGATAGTGTGGGAAGCAGGATTCTATCCCAGACCTTTTCAGACTCCAGACCAAAGCTCTTTTTCTTATTGAGATATACTAGAATAAGAGTTTTTTCCTCACTCCTCTCAACCTCCTCTGCCCCCACCATCCAATTCAAGTTCTATTGATTCAACCTTTGTAATATTTCTTGACTATACCTGTTTCTCTTATGTGATACTGCTTCCATCCTGGTCCAGGCCCTCATCATCTCATGCTTGGATTACTGCAAAAATAACCTGTGGGTTGGTCTCCCCAACTTAAGTCTCCCCACTCCAGTTCATTCTCTACTCAGCTATCAAAGTAATTTTCTTAAAGGTCAGGTCTGACCAGATCACTCTCCTATTAAATAATCCTAATTGGCTCCCTGTCGCATTCAGGATCAAATAGTAAATCCTCTGTTTGGCTCTGAAAGAGTTTTACAATCTGGCCCCTCTCCTTTCCAGTGTTCGCATACCTCGTCATCCTCTGTCTACTCTGTGATCCAATGATCCTGCCCCCTTTGCTGTTCTTGCCTGTGAGACCGTCTATCTCCCAAGCCTAGGCTTTGTCACTTGCCATGGCCTCTGCCTGGAATTCTCTCCCTCCTCATCTCTGCCTCCTGGCTTCCTTATAGTCCCATATGAAATCCTACCTTTTACAGGAAGCCCTCCCCAGTCCCCCATAATTCTAGTTCCTTTCCTCTAAGGTTACCTCCAATTCATCCTGTAAGTATCGATTATGTCCATCATTGTTTTCATAATCTCCCCCATTGGATTATGAGTTCCCTGAGAGCAAGGATTGTCTTTTTGCCTTTCTTTGTATCCTCAGAACTTAGCGCAGTGCCTGACATACAGTAGACAATAAAAGCTTGGTGACTTGCCTTCACATACATTTAGCCAGAACATAACAAGGTTTAAAAACATATCTGCTAGGTGGTGAGTGGATGGAGCACTGGCCCTGGAATCAGGAGGTTCTGAGTTCAAATCTAGCCTCAGACACTTAACCAGTTGTGTAACTGGGCAAGTCACTTAATCATACAAAAACAAACAAAATATATTTGTCTCACTCCCATTGCACAGTGGGCATGCAGGAGCATCTCTTAGCTCTGTCTTGCTATATGATGACTTATATATAATACATTAAGGTTTCCAAAGAATGTTCCTCAAAACAGTGTTAGGTAGCGCAAGTGTTATCCCGTCTGCAGCATAGATTAGTGGGGAAATCACTGAACTTGGAGCCAAAAGACATGAATTTGAGACCTGGCTCCTCTGATCGGGGTAATTGGCTTTGCTTCTTTGAGGCTCAGTTTTCTCACTTGTCCATCAGGGATAACAAGAGCAAACAGGCTTGTTGTGAGGATCAGATTGACAACACATGCAAAGTGCCTGCAAACCTGAAAAGAGTCAGTCAATGAGCTTGCATGAAATGCCTACTTATGTGCCAAGCCCTGCTAGAGATGATGCTGATGATCCGCTGCAGAGTGCCGGCTCTCTCTATCCCTCACATAGGTCTTTCATGCATCTTCCCTGGTCCTGTGTATTCTCTGTGTGGGCGCTCAATATGGGTTTGAATTCTGATTCTGGTTTACTACCTTTGAAATACTGGACTGGTCATTTAACCCTTTGAGGTCTCACTACCACTCCTCTCCCCAAAATCACATTACTCTAAAGAGCCATGGCTGCTGCTTTATCTCTTCTGTTATAATAATAGCTAACATTTACATACTGCTTACCATGTGCCAGGCACCGTGCTAAGTGCTTTACCATTATTCTCTCATTTGATTTTTACAACAATCCTGGGAGGTTGGTGCTGTTATTATCCTCATTTTTACAGAAGAAGAAACTGAGACAAATAGAGGTTAAGTGACTTGCCCAGAGTTGCAGAACTACTAAGTGTCTGAGGCTGGATTTGAACTCAAGTCTTCCTGACTGCAGGCCCAGTGCTCTGAGCACTGTGGCACCACCTAGCTGCCTCAACATTTGCTGTGATCTTTACCAATGCTTCTCAGAAAAGCTACAACTTCCCTATTATATTTTACTGCTTCTGTTCTAGTCTTAGATTTGTCTCCAGAACGATCGTGTGTGTGTGTGTGTGTGTGTGTGTGTGTGTGTGTGTGGTCAGACATCATGGCCTGGAGAAATTTCTGCCCTAGGCATCCCTTTCCCTACCTCCTACCTTCTGATTGGTGACTCCTTCTACTGGGCCACAATTTCAGGGAAGCCCCATCTGTGCTTTTTCTCACTCTTTCCTCCAGTTCAGGAACCATGAATCATGACCAAATCCATACTATTATTGTTCATGGATGGTGTTTGTCAGCTTACTTTCCTTTGGCACCTCTCATGATCCTAGTAACTTTCCCTTCCCTTCCTGATTTCTACTTTCCTGTTTTTTTCTTTTTTTCTCCGCACTGGATATATAAATACCTTGAGGATAGGGGACTGTCTTTGCAACACAGGAAGCAATAAATACTTTTTCATTCATCCATTCATTCTTCCTTTGCTGTCTGCTTTTTCCAAGGCTTTTGTTTTCCTTCCAAATCCCTCCATTTCAAGTCTCCTTTTACCAAACCAATATGTTCCAGAAGACCAATAATTAATCTAGGGAATATCACCAAATTCCTGGTCAGGCCAGGGTTGGAGAAGGAGTTTTTAAAATTTCCCTTCAGGCGCTAGGTGTGTTACCAAATTTCATATCTTTGAACTTCAGCTGATTCTTGCCCAGGTCCACCCCAATTACCTCAGTCTCAGCCAATTCAACCCCTTGAACATCATAATAGAACAGATAATTGGAGACAGAGGAAGGAAATTTGTATCTAGGCCTAGTCTGTCACTAACTCACTGTGTGATCTTGACCAAAGTCCCTTAACCTCTCTGAGTTTCTTTTGCTCATTTGGAGAGAGAAAGCCAGTTGATCTGGACTTGCTCCAAGGTCCCATCCAGCTCTCAAATTCCACATAATTGCTAGATGGGAAGGATTGAATGCAACAAAAATGGGAGGGCCTAGGAGGTAACTGAGAGGGTGGGAATGATCAAGATATGAATAGATTAGGAAGCAACTGTGAGGACAGAGGAACAGAGGAAGGAGGAAGCCGAGTTTTTAGGAGCAGCCATTTAAGGGAAATCAGTGTTGAGTACATAATAAAGAATAAAAACGTAAAAGTTTATATCTTCATAATGGGGTTATTAATTAGGGTTGAGTTGTTAACAAGTTTATAGTCTCCTGGAACTGTGAAAATCTTTTTAGAGAACACTTAGCAAATAGCAGACAGATTTGATAATCACCATCTCCTTTGGAGTTTTTACTCATTTTGGCCAGATCCATTCAGTTCAATTCAGCAGACATTAATTAAATAACTGCTCTGTGTAGAACACTGTATTAAGTCCTGGGGAGAGATACAAAGTTTAGATGTAGTGGCCTTCAGCATGGCATGGTGGGAATTAGAATTGCAATCAGAGGCCCTGGGTTCAAATCCTGCTTCTGCCACTTAGAAACTATGGGACCTTGGGCAATTCATTTGTCACCTCCAGGCCTCAGTTTCTTCATCTGTAAAATCTCTGGGGTTGGACCTCCAAGATCCCACCTATCTCTCAACCTATGATCCCTTTCTGCCTTGCAAAGAGCTAAAAATCTTGTAAGAGAACATGACAATGATACAGGTAACTATAATGTGTCATGAATGAGTTATAAAACTACTAAATAAAACCATGAAGATGAGTGCAGCAGTGGAAAGCCATTACTGATTAAAGGAGTTGGGTAGATAGATATCTAGGTAGATAGAAACAGTCGATAGAGTCCTGGGACTGGAGTCAGGAAGGCCTTTGCGGAAAAATCTTTAGTGGTTTCCTATTGTCTTTTTCTTACTGTTCAGTTGTGTCTGACTCTTTGGGCCCCCATGGACCATACTGTCCTTAGGGTTTTCTTGGCAAAGATATAGGAGTGGTTTGCCATTTCCTTCTCTAGAGATTATGGCAAACAGAGGTTAAGTGATTTGCCCAGGGTCACACAGCTAATAAATACCTGAGACCACATTTGAACTCAAGTCTTCCTGACTCCAGGACCAGCACTCTATCCACCCCACCATTTAGCCGCCTCTTCCCTATTGTCCAGTAAGTTCAAACCCCTTTGTCTGGTATTTAAGACCCTCTATAATGTGGTATGGACTCTACTTTTCCAGGCTCACCTCATATCATTCCACTCCCAGAAGTCTTCATTTCCTATCTTCACACCAAGATGCCTCTGCTCCAGCCATAATTCTCTTCTTCTTCCTACCAGACACTTGGACTCTGCCTCTGAGAAGCTGGGCATTGATAGGTGAGCTTTCGCCTCATCCAATCTGAAAGCCGGCCTTCGCCATCTTGTTCAAGCTATCTCCACTCCAAGTCCTGCAGTGAGTCACATTATCCCCTTTGTGTATTGTCTTCTCCCATTAGAATAGAAGCTCCTTGAGGGTAGGGACTATATTTTGCTTGTTGTATTTGTATCCCTAGGGCTTAGCACATAGGAAGTGCTTAATAAATGCTTTATCTATCCATCTATTAATAATAATAATTGTCATTGTATCTAACTTTTTTTAGTGCTTACTGTGTGCCAAGCACTGAACTAAGAATTTTACAAATGTGATCTCATTTGATGCTCACAATGACCCTGAGAGGTAGATGCTATTATTTCCACTTTACAGATTGGGAAACTGAGGCAAATAGAGGTGAAGTGACTTGCAAGTTAACTCTCTGTCTTTGTTTCTCTATCCCTGTTACTGTCTCTCTCTGTCTCTCTCTTTCTGCCTCTCTTTGTCTCTGTATGTCTGTCTCTCTTTATACAGCCATGCAGGTTGGATTCAAACTCATATCTTCTTCAGTCCAGGAGTGGTGCTCTGTGCACTGTGCTGCCACCTAGCTATCCTAGATTATTTTGTCAATTTGTGAAAGATGGATTGGAGCGTGGAAAGACCAGAGTCAGGATGGCTATTATAACAGGCCACATAGGTGGTAGTGAGGCCTTAGAGAAGCAGTGGCAGTAGACACTAAGGAATGATTCATGCCAGAGATGTTTCTGGGGCACAATGACTCAATCCTCTGACTATAAAGTCCCTGAGATGCTTTGCTCCAACTCTAGAGAGAGCTCATTCATTGCCTAGGTCATCCCAGAATCCCAGAGACCTAGAAGGTCACTTCATTCTAGCCAGGTACTTAACCTCTCTGCAACAAAGCTGACAAAGAAATGATCCTTTAGACTTTTCAGCATTGGGAGCCCATAACCTCCGCTGCCAGCCCATTTTACGTTTGGTCGGCTCTAATTACCAGCTAGCTCTAATTGTCCTAGGGCTGGGAGTCAGAGGAGCAAGGCTACTTTACCTCTGGGAATAGACAGGGCACATTCTCATCAGTTTCCCATCTTGGCTCACCACAACCTGTGAAGAAGATGCTGAGGATAATCTTATCCCATTTTAGAGATGAAGCTACTGAGACTCAAATCCTGAGGTGCTGAAAAGTGGTATATCCTGGCCTGTAATTGCTTAGCTAACAAGGAAGGGTCAGAGGTGGGATTCAATCCCTAATCTCTATGGGATCTAAGAACAGTTTTCTTTCTAATTTTCCTTGTTACCTGAGATTAGAACTCAGAACTCTGGGCTTCCAGTAGCCCGGTGGTCTTCTCTGTGCACCACTCTGATTCTGACCAGACTTCATCTCCCTCTGGGAGAATATTCCTTTCCTGCCCCCTCTCTCTGCCCAGTTGAGTAGAAGATCTCTCAAAGCAGGTAAGAAATTCCTGGTTAGAAACATGTTTTATTGTGATGGACATTTCTGAAGGAAAAGGAAAGTCCTTGAAATCCCACCAGAGTAACTGTTTGTTTACTCTTAATGGCAAAAATGATAATCATTATCCTTGGGGACAGGAATCAACCTTTAAAGACAGCTCATTTTCTTTCCAGATGTCATCCTCCCAGCTTCTCAAAGCTGTCACGTCCTGCTTGGCTTCTCCCTCTGATGAATCTGCTCTCCCAGCATTCATCGCTGGCGGTGGAGAAACAGCAATTATAAAGCAGCCAATCACGGGCGCTCCTAAATCATGGCTGAGTGCCAATGGCATGATTAAAGGCAGATGCTCCAAGTGCCAGAGTCAGCACATTGGACGCTTCCTTCATTCCTTCCTCTCTGTCCACCTTGCAGGCGCTTCACCTGAATTTTCTCTGAAATTCCCCTGAAAAGGATCAACTCTACTGGTGTGACGTTGGACAAGCCATTTTCCTCTTGCCTGTTCTCAGTTTCTTTCCCTAGAATGAAAGGGTCGGGTTCTTAACGTTTTTGTGCCATGATCCCCTTTGGCAGTCTGGTGAAGCTTATGGATCCCATATCAGAATCACGTTTTTAAATGTATAAAGGAAAATTTAGGGGATGAAAAATGAAGTCAGTTTGATCAACAATTGTCAAAATATTAAAGAAAAAACACTCAAGCAAGGTCAGAGACCTCAGGATAAGGTCCCATATGACTCCAAATCTTATGAACCTATGATTCTATGAACTGGCTCAAGTTAACTGCCTGTCTCTGTCTTTCTGTCTCTCTTAATGGGAACCTTCCAACTCACCTCTGATATTCCTTGTGTGACCCTGGGCAAGCCACTTAATGTCCTTAGGACTCAGTTTCCTCATCTATTAAAATGAGGGTGTTGGGCTACATGGCCCTTGAGGTCATCTAGTTCTTCATCTCTGCTGGTTCCAGATACAAGGAGGATGTGTATCCACTAAAACTATTATTTCTGAATGTTAGATAATAAATCAGGTCATGATTATTTGCTTGGCACCTACCAAGTGGCTCTGAGATTTGGGGTTCCTCAGTTTTTGAACCTTGAGTCTGTTCTGTTCTCCCATGCACATAGTAATCAAAGAAAAGGCACCAAGATAAGTTAAGTCATGGTGGGGAGGGAGATCACTGTCTGTTCTACCTGCTTGCCCCAATTTCTGGATTTTTATGCAGGCAGAGCCAGCTGCAGAGCAGTCTGAGGTGCACTCCCTTACATTTGTAAGCCCTCATTCAACAAATAGAAGAGAATTTGGAAACCATCTAGCCCAAAGGTTGGGGAACCTGAGACCTTGAGGCCACATGTAGACCTCCTTTTATTAAGGGGATTTGTTCTGTGAAGATTGGATTCAGTCAAAGGGTCACACTTGAGAACCTAGGGGGCCACGTGTTCCCCCCTCCTGTCTACCCCTCTCATTTTATAGATGGGGAAACTGAGGCCCAGGTACGATGATCTAGCACTCTTTCTACTAGCCCACCTTGTCTTGATTGAGTCAACATTTATAAAGTGGAAGCCCTGAGGATTACTTCATCCCTCCTTTGACCAGCCTGGTTATGAGACTCTCTGAATGTTGCTTGGAATGTAGCCAGACAATCCAACCCTGTATTGAAGATGTTCCCAGCACTTAGTAGGATTTGCCAGAGCTCATTCCTCCACAGGTTTTGCCTTTAAGAACCTAGGGTTGCCATCATGCCATGATGAGGCACCAGAGGGTAGATGGATGTGGAGGATGACAGAAGAGTGTGACACCTTCCCTTACAGATTATTTCCAGTTTATCCTGTTTATACTCTGTATGCGCAGCATTTGAAGGTTGTCTCCTCTGCACAAGTTCCTTGGGAGCACGAATTGTTTTTTGCCTTTATAGCCCTAGGGCTTAGCACAGTGCCTGGCACACAGTAGGTGCTTAATAAGCACTTATTAGCTTGTTGACATGTAGGAGCAGTGTGGTATAGTCACTGGACTTCTAGGTTTAGCATTAGGAAGACCTGGGTTCAACTCCCTACACCTGGTGTCAGACACTTATTATTTGTGTAACCCCCTAGGACTTACACTGATATTGTTCAGTCATTTCAGTTGTATCTGACTCTTTGTGACCCTATTTGGGGTTTTCTTGGCAAAGATACTGGAGTGGTTTGCCATTTCCTTCTCCTGCTCATTTGACGGATGAGGAAACTGAGGCAAACAGGGTTAAGTGACTTGCCCAGGGTCACACAAATAGTAAGTGTCTGAAACCGGATTTGAATTTAGATCATCTTGACTCCAGACCTCAGCTATCCCAGCACCTATCTACACTGTAGAATCTCCTATGCTTGTGACATCATAGATCCTTTGCATGATTATACATATATGTCTTTGTTCCTGAAGCAGTTTGGTATGGCAGCCAGAGAACTGACCTCAAAATCTGGAAGATATAAGGTCAAATTCTACTTCTGACTCATATTGGCTATGTGACCCTGGGAGAGTCCATAACCTATCAAGGCCTCAGGCAACTCCAAGACTCCAAATTGCAAAGCAGGGTTAGTTAGCTTGGGGAGGGGAAGTCAACCCATTTGGAGTTCCCTATGCCAATCAAATCCCAGGCCCAATCCTACTATTCTATTTATTACGCCCACATACTCTATTTTTGTGTGTCTTTAGTACACTGCAATGGAAAATCCAACTTGGTGGTGGCAGAAGTAGGAACTGTTTCACCCCCAAGCTTATAGACTCTCCTATCGCTCCCATTGTTCCTGCCTGCCACTCACAACCGCACTCTGGGGAGCTCAAAATTTGGGGGGACTATAATAGACCTACTTCTAATAAAAAAGCTGTTGTTGTTGGTGATGGTTGTGGTGTGTGTGTGTGTGTGTGTGTGTGTGTGACAGAGAGAGAGAGAGAGAGAGAGAGAGAGGAGAGAGAGAGAGAGAGAGAGAGAGAGAGAAGTCCTGTGATCTAAGTTTATAATATTCTTGCAGCCATTTATTTTTAAAAAAATCTCATCAGTAAATTTCTAGTAGGTGGAAGAATGAGAAAATAGGTCAAAGAATGAGAAGTCTGCATTCTGTGAGTATTAATTCAGTGCTTAGAAAAAAAAATCTAATCTATTTCTATGTAGTTTGAATTGAGGACAAGCTTTCAAAATGAACTAAGGTGACTGGGAGGATGGTAATTACACTGGTAGGGGGGCAGGAAATGTTCTGGGTAAGTGATAGGTGGTTGGGTTTTGCAATGGATAGAGTTCTGGAACTGGAATAGGAGAGACCTTAGTTCAAACCTCGGCTCAAGCACTTACTGACTGGGTGACTTTGGGTTATTGTAAAGATAAAATGAGATAATATTTTTAAACCATTTTGTAAACCTTAAAGTGATATGTAAATTCTTCTTCTTCTTCTTCTTCTTCTTCTTCTTCTTCTTCTTCTTCTTCTTCTTCTTCTTCTCCTCCTCCTCCTCCTCCTTCTCCTTCTCCTCTTCTCCTTCTTCTCCTCCTCCTCCTCCTTCTCCTTCTCCTTCTTCTCCTCCTTCTCCTCCTCTTCTCCTCCTCCTCCTCCTTCCTTCTTCCTTCTCCTTCTTCTCCTCTTCCTTCTCCTTCTCCCCCTCCCCCTCTCCTTCT